GCATGGATTTTTGGTGTTCGTGCAGGGGCCTTGCTGCTCGTGGTTCTCGTGTTGTTCCCGGGATTTTCGGGGCTCTGGCGCCTTGGGTTGGCGTTTGCTGCCGGTTGTCTCGCCTCCTTGGGGGGTGCGTGGTGTCCGCCTCCCGGTTTTGTCCCTTTGACCTTCCTCTGTGGGTAGTTAGCTCCGGGGAGCCGACGGGGCTCCCCCCAGAAAACCAGCGTTGAATGTAATGAAACGCCATTTTCTGGGTGAGACCCGGAGGCTCCCCGGCAACCCTCCCTCCCTCCGGTCGGCGTTTTTCGCGTGTTTTGACATCCAGCCTCAGAACTGATGGGTGGATAGCCGGCGTGGGAGGTCTGGGGCTCCCCCTTCCCCCTCCCGGGGAGGGGGGAGCTGCGCAGACAGCGGCGCGGTGACGTATGACGTCATACTAGTTTCCTTGTTTTCTGTTGAAGAGTTCTATTCACTAGTTCGGCTTAGGTAGCAATTTTCACCAGAATAGGGGTTTGTTTTGGAATGCTTACCTTTCTGGATGCTTGACCCGGTCGATGGCAGACATAGAATGCTTCCAACCACACGGGGGTTTCTATAGGCCATTGCTCCCCTTGCCTCTCTGAGGGGGCCAGGTTCTGGCTCGTGGTCCCCGGTAGGCCCTAGAACTCCATACACATGACTGATGCCAAAGTCTGACATTAGCATATCAGCTCCGGGGAGCCTCCGGGTCTCACCCAGAAAATGGCGTTTCATTACATTCAACGCTGGTTTTTTTACTGCTCGCATTCGTGCTGTGAAAACTCCCAAACTACTGGAACTCCTTCAAAGCACTCTGACTATAATCTAGAATAAAGATGCAAGATCTCATAATGCTTATTACTCAATGATCAGGTATCTAAAATATGTAAGTTACTTAATGGAGTGATAGTTATGATAGTTCAGAATAAGATAGTTGTTGTTGTCATTAGCATTGTTTGAGAATACTGGGCATTAAGAGTCCATTACTATAAATTTCTACTGGCATATGTTAGAAATAATGCTAAAACAAGGGGTGAAGTTTTCAAGGGGATTGGCAAAATTTCTAGAGGAATTCTGATCAGTCAGGTTGTGATTACTGTGTGGGTCATGTTATGCATTAGCCTCATGAGGCAAGTCATTACGTAGTAAGTCTGGCCACAAATAAACAATTTGACTACTTCATGGTAGACTTTAGTCTGTTTTTGACAGGTGTTTGGTAAACGTCTGTGTGGGGAAGTGTGAAGCTGATGTAGGATTCTAATCTTACAAATGGGATTAAGATTTTGTAATATATATTTATAAAAATTTATGCATAATACGTGTCTGTCATTCTGAGTGATGAGCCAACTAGACTTGACCTAGTACAGTATTCACTTTGAATGATTCAGACATAAGGGAAATCCACTTCGAAGCTACCATGAGAATGAGCGATCAGTGTACTGACATTTAAGTATCTGATAGAAGTCGGAATAACTTATTGAAGGGACTAGAAAATATAAAGGTTGGCGTACCGAAAAGAAAACAGATAAGAAAATTCCTAAGACATTCCATGGGTAAGAGAGCTCAGAGGAAAGGCTTCCCAAGACATGATGGACTATATCATGCAGAAGTGTAACGAGGCATCAGACAAGTTTGTCCCAGTCCAAGCAGAAAAAATTTAATGCAAATGAGGAACCCATGGTTTAATCAGGGATGTAAGCTGGCGAAGCAACTAAGCACATGGGCACGGAGAAACTACAGTAATAACAGGACACCAAAGAGTAGAGAAAGATACCAGAGGGCTAGGAATGAGTACCTTAGGGTGAGAAGAGAGGCAGAATGGCAGTACGAAAATGACATGACAACTAAGGAAGAAAACAACAATGAAGGAACGGGTAATGAAACTGAGGATAGGGGCAAACGGGTTCACTACAAAGGACAAGGAAGTGTGCGAGAAACTCGTAAGAAATTCCAGGAGGTCTTCACAGTAGAGCAAGAAGTGTCTGAGCTAAGAGAGGTAATATCAAACCAGGCACCACTGGAGTTTGAAATTAACAGTAGGGCAGTAAGGAAGCATTTGCTCGAGTTGGATGTAGTAAAGGCTGTAGGCCCAGACAGTATCTCACTATGGATACTAAAGGGAGCAGAAGCACTGTGCCTACCACTCTATATGGTGTATAACAAGTCACTGGAAACAGGAGAACTGCCAAGAATTTGTATGATGGCTAATGTAGTCCTGATATATCAGTACAAGAAGAGAGGGAGACAGGCACTGATAAAGTTCATGCCAGTGTCCCTAACTTGCATACTATGCAAGGTGAAGATGATGATTGTGCGAAAAAAACTGGAACATCTGGAGAGAGAGAACTTTGAAACAAATTACCAGCATGGGTTCAGGGATAGCAAATCTCGCCTCACAGGATTAAAATTCTATGACCAGGCAACAAAAATTAGGCAAGATAGAGAAGAGAGACAGACTACATATTTTTGGATTACCAGATAGCCTTTAACACAGAACCCCATAAAAGACTAGTGCACAAACTGGAGATACAGGCAGGAATTAAAGGGAAGGTTCTTCAATGGATAAGGGAGTACCTGAGCAACAGAAGACAGCGAGTCACTGTGAGGGGAGAGGTCTCAAAATGGTGAGACGTCACTAGTGGAGTCACACAGGGTTCAGTCCTTAAACCTATTCCGTTTCTGATGTATGTAAACGATCTCCCAGAGGGACTAGACTTGTTCCTCTCAATGTTTGCTGATAATGCAAAAACAATGAGGATTAAGACTGAAGAAAATAGCAAGGGGCTACAAAATGACCTAGACAAGCCGAAGAAATGGTCCAACAAATGGCTAATAAAGTTCATTACTTTACATTCCTTCGAGTTGTAGCTAGGTGGAAGGAACGAGACCAGACATAGGGTGCCGACAGGGGGAGACAAAGTCCTTCACAAAACGGAAGATTAGTCATGGAGTATGCAGTTCCAGAATGGAGTCCATGTGTTGTCAAGCATCATAAGACAAACCTGGAGAAGGTTCAAAGATATGCCCCTAGACTAGTTCCAAAATTAAGTGATATGGGTTACGAGGAAAGGCCGAGTGAATTCTACTTAATGTCGCTGGAAGACAGAAGAGTTTGGGAGACATGATTACCACATACAAAATTCTCTGGGAATTGACAGGGTAGATACAGACTATTTAACATAGGTGGTACTCGCACAAGGTTGGGAAGGGGGGGACGTGGAAAGAGTACCCAAATCAGCCAGAGAGACCCTAGAAAGAACATTTTCAGTGTTAGAGTAGTTAATAATTGGAATGCATTAGGAAGTGATGCAGTGGAGGCTGACTCCATACACAGTTTCAAATGTAGATATGAGAGCCCAATAAGCTCAGATACCTATGTACACTTGACATGTGAAATCGGAGAGCCGAAGCGCAACCCACTGCAAGCACAACTAGGCGAGTACACGCATGCCTGAGATCCACTGGTGAAAGAACTCTTGAAGGTGTGTTAATAATCGCTACCCACGAGAAGTTGAAATAATGGTATTGCAGGTTTGGAACTGGTGAGATTAATTGATAATCTCAAATGCCTACAGCACACCAGTAAGCAACACATGAACAAAGGAATTTGATGACAAACGAGAGGACCGCATAGTGGTTGTGAGAGAGACATTATAATAAGAGCAGATAGATAAATTGTGATTGTTGGAACTGGGGGACTTCAACTTGAAAGCAATAGACTGGGAGGTCTGTGAAGCAAGAATGGGGGGCCATTTGGACAGGCATATTTGTAAACCTCATTCTGGAGACATTCATGGATCAACACGACAAGCAGGTTACAAGAATGAGGGAAAGATTTGTCAATAATGGATTTAATATTCGCCAGGAAAGAAGAGGAGATATATGACATTCAGTACCTTCCTTCCTTGGGGAAAGAGTAACCATGTCCTGTTGGAAATTTAATATGCAATGTGATATAATCTAGAAGAGAATGGGGACATTTAAATAGTTGAGAAAGTATTTCAAGTGCAGACACTATAGGGAACTTGCCAAATTCTTTTAATTAATTTTATTGAACAGACTGTTGCTAGGCAAGGCAGTAAATGAGATGCATGCTAAATTCTGAGAAATATATGTTGAAGGTACAAACAGATTTATACCAACACCAATGCAGAACCTGAAAACAGGATTAGTTCAACAGAAATTGTGAGAAGGCCAGAGTGGAAAAGACAAGAAAATGGGTACAATTTAGGAAGAGGCCAAACCCTCAAACATACCAGCATTACAAACAAGCAAGAAACAATTACACAACAGTGAGTAGAGTGGCAGAAGGGAACTTTGAAAAAGAGGTTGCAGACAAATGTAAAACAAATCTATAGTTGGTTGTACTTCAATAACCCCTTTCAGAGTTGGAAAAATTGCTGACCTGGTGAGCATGCAAAGATCCTTTTACCACTAGAATCCACTCAGTAAAACATCTAACTTATTGGGACTGCCTAAAAAAATTTAGTCTGTTTTTTCTAGAGTGCAGGCAGGAGAGATTCATAATAATTTACACTTTGAAAATATTAGGGCTGGTTCAAAATCAGCATACAGGGAAAATAAGACCACATTAGACCAGAAGGCATGGCAGGAGGTACAGAATTGCCCCTCTGAAGAGGTGCAATAGGCAAGCTGAGAGTAAACACGATCAATATCAAACGCCCAACACACTTTCCCTACACATGCGGGGCATAACTGGCGTAACTGTGTTCAAAAGAGAACTCATCAGGCACTTTCTAAGGATACCTGATTAACCAGGCTGTGACTTGTATGTCAAGTTGCGAGCAGCTATATCAAACGGCCTTGAAGATCAGACCAGGAACCAGGCCGTAGGGACGCATTCCACTGCATTGTTTCAAAGTTTTCTCATATCATACTAAAGTACAGTATTGTGATTTCATTGTTTAGTTCCAAAATGTTAGAGTTTGGGATGTGTTGGTAGTAGTGTGTAATTTCTGTGTCTTTAGGCAGGAACGTTCAGTTACATGAGCCCCGAGTCACTGTTGGATGTTCAGTCGGGACCAATCATCAATGGCCGCTGCGGTGACCATCCGACCATCAAGGTAAGTATATGTTCTTACAATCTGATTTTATTTATATTATTTTACGCTGAGATTTTCTTTTGTTTACATTCATAACCACAAATATAGATGCATATAAATGTGTTTATAGGCACTCATAGAATGTTTATATACTGGAGCCGGTAGAACAGCTGGAGAACAGTAGTACAAACTGCTGGTGAAGAATATTGCCACCTGGTTGCTTTTGTCATGTGAGGCAAGAGGTTCAGTTCTCATCTAATGCAAAGAACTCTTAACATACACAAGAGAAAACAGATAAGGATGGAGGAGAGAAGTGGTATCTGAAAAATAGTTGGAATAAGAGCAGAAGTGGAAACATCACCCGTGAGAAAATATAATGACCAGTTCATCCAAATGGGAAATGGGAGGTAACAAAACAAGAAATGCAAATGCAGACAATGAGTCACAGTAACGTGGCTGAAGATATACGATAACCAAACCATATCGGAAAATGAAATGACGTTTCGATTCATCCTGGACCTTTCTGGACCAGAAATATAAAAAAGGTAAGAGCGAGACGAGAGGTGAGGAGCAGGTAGCAATGAGATGAAAAGAAAGAATAGGATGAGAGTAAGAGGAAGGTAAGAATAAGAAAAAGAGAGAGGACCAAACAAAGCTCAAAATAGATCATGTTTATTCAGAATTCCAGCATGTGAAGATCATTTACTGCCAGAATCTACTCGATAAAACATCTTAATTATTGGGAGCACCTAAAAATTTAAATCTGTATTCCCTTGAGTGCAGGTAGGGGAGAGAGATACATAATAATTTAAATTTGGAAAATATTAGTAGGACTGGTTCAAAGTCTGCACACGGAAATATTACTACACGAGACCAGAAAGCATGGCAGGATGTGCAGAATACCCCCACTGAAGAGCAGAGGTGCAATAGACACGCCGAGAGAGAACTCGATCAACATCAAAGGCTTGAGACTTTTTGCCTCTCTTCCCTTATACATATGGTGTATAACTTGTCGACCCTTCAGTGTTCAAAGGACAACTCAACAAGCACCTTCAAAGGATACCTGATCAACCAGGCTATGACTCGTATATCAGGTTGCGAGCAGCCGCATCAAACGATCGGGTTAATCAGACCAGCAACCAGTAGGCCTGGTCAGAGACTGTGCCGTGGTGACATTGATGCCTGGAACTTCAGCAGCTAGACAACAGGTAGGTGCAGGGTGGAGGTCAGTCTACATCACTCATCTTCACTGAGCTGCTAAACACCACAAATGATATAGTGAAAGGGCTGATACTCAAAATGGAAATTCTAAATGTGTTGATTGTGCTTGTATATAAATCGCCAGATACAAATCCTCGGCAGTTTAACCCCTGCACTGCGCACCTTTTATAACGACGCCGTGGTGCGCCCAACATAAATTGTTCCAAAAATAGTATTTGTTCTTTTGGTATTGATAATTAGCACCCAGGAAGCATGAAAATTCAAGTAAAAAGTCTCTCTTGTAGTTTAGCCATAGTTGCCTACAGAAGTTACTTTTTTCTTTTTTAGATAGAGTTGCTGTATAGGAATAACTTTGTTGATTTATTTTCAGTGTTTCTCACTTTTAGTTTTTTCACTCTCATAAATTGTATGTGTCTCAAAGATGGTGTTCATTATGTATTACTTGGAAAATATACATATATATACAGATATATGTGCATAAATATATGTACACCATATTTTTTATTCATACTTAAATATATACAGTATGTATATATATATATACTATATATAAAAATATATAGAAAGGGTACCACCTCTGGTGCAAGTGTAGGGACCCATAGCCTCGGAGAAGAAAATAAAGAGTACTCAGAGAAGACCTTGTGGATCCTCACTGAACACTTTGATATTTTCTTCTCCTACCACCCCTATTCTTTTGTTAAGTGTGTATATTAATCTAACTTTATTTGAAAATGTCATTACACAAAAAAAGTTACAATATTGATTACATGCAGGGTACAAGGCTGCTTGTCACAAGTTGAACAGCTCCTCCAGCTCCTCAGATGGCGGGCAGGAACCATGGATGCAGTGAGCATTTCCTCCTCTGGATTGCCACACTAAGGCGCTGAAAAAGAAAACTGGCAGCTCTAGGGTCTCTAGTTGTTTCGATTAGCTTAGACCCCAACTCCTTCAAAAAGCTAGCAGTACTTTTACCCCAGGCACCAAGTGTCTCTGAGGCAATGGGGACAAAATTGTAGTGGTGCTCAAGGTCTCTGTATTTACGTGACTTGGCCGCTTCCCGGTGATTGGCAGCTCCTCCTGCTTGTGTAGCACTGAAGTCAACATAGGTATTGGCTAAAGTTGAAACGCAAGTGTAGTCCCACACCAACGGTCTACCATTCTTCCAGGGGTTCACCGTAATTCCGTCTGGGCGACCGACAGGCTCATCAGAGTTGCGGGACATTAGGTATCGGGGCTCTCTCTCTGCTGGACAACCGGCTGTGGTAAGGCTTCTCTTAATAATGTCATTAACCTCGCCGTGTCTTGCATGCCATCCTCCCGTCCTTTGGCAAAGAAGGCCATGCCGTCCATATCTGTCGGCCTCTGCCTCGCCGCAAATACACCTGTATTCGGTGTGGATTGGGGCAGCGAGGCGGAGAGCCACGGCAATTCGGAGGGCCTGTGGTGTGAGACGGGTGCCGGTTGCTGACATTGGGGTTGCTAATAGGAAATCACCTGCATGGGGAGCTGCTACAGTTCTAAGTCGGGCAGTGTCATGTGGTGTTGTCGCAGCTTCTAGCAAAGTTGCAGCTTCTTGGTCGGCAATGGGGTGATCCCAGCTGGATTGCTTATGGGCTTCAGAAGGCAGCGGTTGGGGTGCTGGTCCTGCGAGAGAGACCCATTTGGTTGTGCAGTCTGTGAAGCTGGGATCATGCACCCCTGCCTGTTGAACTAGGTGCTCAGGTAGGATTTCCTTCACCAAGTTGTCAGACCCCACTGAAGAGGACAGGAACGCTGGTACAGCAATTTGTGTTGCTGTGCGCACGCCAAGGCCCCCGAGTCTGACAGGAAGGAAGGCCTGCTTCCACTGTGAGTCGCTGAGGAAAAGGTTGAGGGCTTTTTCTAGTGTTGATTTCAGCAAGCTGTCGTACTCTTCTAATTAAATATTGTTGAAAGATGGCGAACATCTTAGAAAGTAGGTCAGCCTGGGGAGGGACAAGCATCTGGTGATGAGGTAAAGTGCATCATGAGCATCGATGTCTTCAATCCTCTCGTTCATCCTCTTCAGGTCAGTGATCTTCTTACCAAGGACCCCGTCGATGGCATATATATATACAGTGGTACCTCGGAATGCGAGTGTCCCTGTATGCGAGTTTTTCGGAAGACGAGCAGGATTTACTCCAAAAATATGTCTCGGAAGGCGAGGGTTACCTCGGGACGCGAGTTTGTTGATACGTGTACAGGCCGACTGGCGCGTGGTGGCATGGCAATCGCGCCTCAGTTTACCAGTGTCTCGTGTCCAGTGACTATCCCACCTGAATTCTTCACAAGGATTTACAGTTTTTTATCGGTTTTTTGGCCATTTGAGCATAAAAGTTGTCATTATATATCTTGCCATGGGTCTCAAGAAAGCCATTGATAAGGTTCAACCTAAGAAAATAGCAGTGAGTAGAGGCAGTAGAGGATGTCCCTTCTTGATTAAGAAAATGTGTGAAGTATGGGAAGAACTGCAAAGTTTTGTTGAAAAAACTCGCCCAGATAAAGCTGTAGCAGGCCGTTGCATTGACCTTTTAAATGATAATGTGATGTCTTACTACAGACAAGTGTTAAAATGTAGGGAAAAACAAGTGTCATTAGACTAATTCTTAGTAAAACAAGCAAGTCCTAGTGGTATGCAGGCAAAATGTGGCAGTGTGTGCATACCAGTGAAGTCCTCACTGCCTGATGTGATAATGGAAGGGGACTCCCCTTCCAAACAGTAACTCCTCTCTTCCTCCCACCTCCTCACCATCTTCCATACGCCTACAGCATTCAACAGCAAGGTAAGTAATAACTTGAACATAGTTTTGTAGGTTTATTTAGATGAATTAGGTATAAAAATTTAGTTTGATGTGGGGTTTTTGGGGTAGTCAGGAACGGATTAATTCATTACCCTTTATTTCTTATGGGGAAATTAGCTTCGGAATGCGAGTTTTCGGAATACGAGGCGTCTCCAGGAACCAATTAAACTCTTAAACTGAGGTATGCCTGTATATATATATATATATATATTATATATATATATATATATATATATATATATATATATATATATATATATATATATATATATATATATATGCAAACAAGCCTGAATGGTCCCCAGGACTATATACAACTGAAAACTCACACCCCAGAAATGACTCGAACCCATACTCCCACAACTGGTATGTACAGGGACGCCTTAATCCGCTTGACCATCACGACCGGACATAAGGAAGTGATAGCCGAGGCTATATGAACCACTTCCCCGCCGGCACTCGGATGGTAATCTTGGGCATAGCATTTTATCAAATCACCTCATTCTTTGGGGCACACGTGAGGAACACAAAATCTTTTGTGATTTTCTTTAATATCTTTTGTGTTCCTCACGTGTGCCCCAAAGAATGAGGTGATTTGATAAAATGCTATGCCCAAGATTACCATCCGAGTGCCGGCGGGGAAGTGGTTCATATAGCCTCGGCTATCACTTCCTTATGTCCGGTCGTGATGGTCAAGCGGATTAAGGCGTCCCTGTACATACCAGTTGTGGGAGTATGGGTTCGAGTCATTTCTGGGGTGTGAGTTTTCAGTATATATAGATATATATATATATATATATATATATATATATATATATATATATATATATATATATATATATATATATATATATATATATATATATATATATATATATATATATATATATATATATATATATATATATATATATATATATATATATATATATATATATATATATATATATATATATATATATATATATATATATATATATA